TCATCATCATCATCATCATCATTGTCATAGTTTCCTGATTGTTGTCATTATGTATAAATACTTCGGTGTGTACAATTTTTTCTTCAATTTTATTATTATTCTTGTCTTTTTTTTTTATTCACACTTATTTAGGACGATAGAAAATTATCATCTTGTTTCGGAATTCTTCCGGTTTCAATCCGGAATCTATCGAACTCTGATTAATCATCATCATCATCATCATCATTTTTATCATTATATGCTGTGGTCGAATAATATTTACATAATAATGATGATAATGAATTTTTTTTTCGAAGACCTCGAGTTCTACATTTGTTTTATGTGATGTAGAAAAATTGCCAGAAGAAATATTACACACACATGGGTATCAATGCTCGATTATTCATTTCGAATGAGATTTTTCATTGACTATGTTTGGCTTTTGTCCTTAGATTATTTGATTTGATAATTCAATTGATTTGATTTTTGTCTTTTTTTTCACCATCTTTTTATCACTATCGTGGTTTCATTATGATTTGCCGCCGGTGTTATGTCACTAATGTGTTCAAGCGTCAATATTCATACCATCCACACATTGATTTGAAACGGCAAATTGAAATTGGAATTTTTTTCTCTTTCTTTTCATCTTTGTTTGATAATAAAAACAGATCAGTAATACAAATATCCAATAACGAATGCCAACATTACATAACAAATAATCAAATTAAACAATCAATTTAATTAGCATATAATAATTAGCCGTTTTTGCATGAAGAATTTTACATGGAAATTATAATGCAACACACACTTTTCAATGTTCCAAATTCCATATAAATAATGATGATGATGATGATGATGATAAAAACAATAAAGAAACGCCAATTGGAATTTGATATATCAACCATTGATGATAATTTGATTTGTTTTTAATAAATAGTCATGATTCATTGTGAAAATGAATCTGGATTTTTTTTTGTGTCTTTGATATGAACGAGTTTGATTGCCATTTTACCTTTGATTGATTTATATTTCAAGCATCTCAATGTTTATATTTACAATGCACATTGTTCTAAGGAATTTAATTCAACAAAAAAAAACTTCTGTTATATTCAATTATCAATGTTGAATATGTTAAGAATTAATTTATATGATGATTGAAAAATTCCTTTGTGTGATAATTCGTGCGTGAAATAAGGATAATCTTATTGAATTAGAGATTGTTCTGTGTTTGGTGTTTTCTTTACGTAAGGTTTAAACCATTTATTTAAATTTAGACATTCTTGTATGAACGTGTTTATTCTTGCAAGAATGTTCTAGGATCACACTAGTTTTATCCAGTTTTTTTCGTTACTTGTTTTTATTGAATTTTTTTTTCTTATATCCAGGTACAATATGACGATAGCTTTATATTACTACTGTTTGAGGCCACGTTCATGTTATTTCGAATGATTTATTATAGCCCGAAACAAGAAATATTTATGTGACAAATTCTTCATTTTCAACACAACACACACACACATACGATATATTTATCAATAAATAAATCAAAACAAATTTGAAACAGAGAATTCATTTGAATGGCCAATAATTTCTCCACATACTGCAACATGTCAGTAATACAGGTAGAAAATTGGCAATAAATTCTCTTAGTGTTTTTTTTTCATAAATTGCCGACATTTTATTTTATCATTGAATTTGATTTAAATCTTGGGTGTTGCCTGACTTGTATATTTGTTATTGACTTTATCGTATACGAATGTTAACCTCAGACCTTTGATGGATAATGATGTCCGATGATGATGAGATGATAAGAGGTCAATAACAACAACTATTCCATTTGTAGACTAGTTGTGTTGATTATTACCACTATTATTACTGGCAACGGGTACTTCATTAATTTTTCGTTTTTATTCATAATGATTTACTACTTTAGTTTTCTTTTTTGGTAGAAATAGAAAAAAAATGTTCGTCCTGTTTTTAACAACTTTATGATACAGAATCTTTAATCATTATATGGTCTATTATTGAATAAAAAAAATATTCATCTATTGCCGTGTTGGTTTTTACTGGTTGTCATTACCAACAGTCGTCGGTCGTTTTTCGTGGAAATGGCTGAGAAAACGAAAGAAAAGTATATATATCTTGAATATTCAAAATTATTTATTCATGAAAAATTGAAAACTATCGATGCATCTAATAATTGGATAGCGTAAAGAAGTGAATATTTGTGTATGTAATCGATGTATGTATGAACAAGTAAGCAAGCCAGCCAAAAATTCATTCATTCATTCATTCATTCTGGATCATTTTTAACACTATGAAGTCTGGCCATTTTATCCACTACTATAGTATGTCTCATCCAATAGATTTTGAATGAATAATATGAAATGATGAATACAACAAACAATGTAATGTGTACGGTAACAAATGTGTTAACAAACACATTTTATTTAATTCAGCCCATATGTTCTGAATTTGACAACATCGGTGTGAAAAAAAAGTATATAAAAAAAAAATTTATTTCATTCTTCACTTTGATTCGTTTGAATCTAGTTTCATGTTTTGGTATTTCAAACGATTTTATTATGGAACAATTTTTTATGTCAACGATGATCAAATCCATAGACTTGCACATACACACACATAATCAGTGTACCATAATGATAAAATCGGTGAGAATTCTCAGAAATTTTGAATTATTTTTTTTTCTGAAAATATTCCAAAAAGCAAAAGATGTCATTCTCTACACACATATATATATATGAAATTCAGCAGAAAATAATAGTGATAACAATAAAAAAAAGATGAAATCAGCCACATATTATGTCTGTCGCCTGGTGGTGGTTATCAATGGCGTTTTTTTTTCTTCTTTTTTTTCCAAATTTTTCCGCTCTATTCATTTCCTTGTCTACAGTAGCTTCCTTTTTTCTTTCTCCTTCTCTCTCTCTCTCTCTCTCTAAAATGTATTTTTATTGTCCTTGTGACGGAAATGTGAATGTTTTGGGACGAAAAAGGTAATAGAAAAGATTGTAATATTCAAAAGAAAAAATAAATAAATTATCACCTTTGATGGTTAAAATTGAATGAAAATCAAACTTATGAAATCCGGAGCTTATGGAATGTTTTTTTCTTTTTTGCATCATCTGTTCATCGCACCAATGAGCAATGATTGTGTGTGTGTGTGGGTTCATATGATATATTCTTTATGCATCTTCAGATTCACTTAATTTGATTTTGAACTTCTTAAAAAGGTTGATTTGATTTTTTTTTACTTCCTGAAAAAAAACATATCTTATCATCATATGATGTTGACAATCATCGATGATGCTGCCAATATTATTGATTATATAATTTTTTTAGCTTTTGTTCTTTTTTTTTTTTTTTTGAACATAGGATGTTCAGATATCTTTTCAGCAGTTTAATTTAAAACGAGCGATGAAGAAAAAAAATTGTTCTATCTATCGTTTAAAACAGAATTTTCAATCGAATGATTTTTTTTGTTTTTCTTTTCGATTCTAGTATTCTTCGATTTCATCATCATTGCATTTTTTTTATTCATCCATAACCATTAGTTTTTAGATTCTGTTTCCATGTGTGTGTACATCATTCGAAGTTTGTTTTTTTTTGATGATTGAATTTAAAAATCTAGCCTATATAAAAATACTATTGGCAAAGAGAAAAAAAAATTCGAATGGATTTATTTGAAGCTCAATTTAGATTCTGATTCTTTTCATAATGTCCTACAACAACAACAACAACAACAGTACATCAAAACTACAAAATAATGCTCCAGCAATTATACCAATGATTGGAACAAAAATAAAATGGAGAGGAAAATTAAAATTAAAAAAAACGATGATTCAATTCGTTTATAAGTTTTTATTTTTGCCAATAATAAGTACGTTAATGTATAATCCAATGGTGTAAGGAACATTTAAACTGGAACAAAAACAAATCCATGAAATGAACACACAAAATGTATTTTGAAAGTACTTCAGTTTCAATAGTATCGTCATTTCATCAATATGACGATGAATGAATAAAGTTTTCGCCAATGTTATGATGCAGATGTTCAAAAATGCCATAGCCATCATGTGGTGGCTATGATGATGATGATAATATTCGATAATTAATTTCTATATAAACTAGAAAATTAACTTGGATTAACTTGGAACATTCATCGACTACTGAATAAATACGATTTTGTGATATTATTATTATTATTATATTACTATTATTAGACTAAAGATATACACTTACTTAAAACAGATGTACAAAATTGTACTTTATTTTCTCGCAATGATTTCAATGGCAACTATATGCCATTTAAATTATAAAATCAAATGGAATCAATTTTTTTTTCTTTGCTTTAAAAAAAAATAAATTTTCCCATTTCATTATATGATTGAAATGAACGAATTCAATTTCGCACACACACACACACACACACACATTCATTTTGAAGCAATCGACAATTATCGTTATTTTTCAACTAAAAAATTGGTTGTGAATTCAATTCGATTGATTGTTGAATAAGAAAAAAAAAATACTCGGAACAATTTTTTTCAATCACTCATCGAATTGACAACTGAAAACAATTTTTTTTTTATTATGAGTTTAATTCTTTTTTCGTGCCCAATAACAAACGTGACAATCATTTTTTTCAATTGTCATAATTGAATCCTTGCACACACACTACACTGGAAATAATTTTTTTCGTTAGACAGAACGAAGGCCAATCAGGTCAGACGACAAATTGATAATTCTTTCTTTTTTTTCGTAAACAGAAATGAAAATAAAGCAGAAACAAGATGTCATCATATCAGCGATTTAGAAAGAATAAAGAATTATCAGATTCAATTTTTTAGTGTGTAAAATCAAAATTATCAGTAGAGCCTAAAAGTAAAAACTTGAAAAAAATCGATTTTCACCGGCTGCTCGATTATTTTCTCTTTCTTTTCATGACAATTATATAGAATCGAATCAAAATTCTTTCAATGTTTTCAATTTAAGATTAAGATTTAATATAGATTTTTTTGTGATACATAAAGTAATTGAACATTTTTAGTTGTTTCAGCCACGTTATCATTTGTTGTATCATTGTTGGCCATTATGGCCGCTGGTAGAAACGAATATGTTGTTGTTGTACGATAAGTTTTTGGATCATACTCATGATGATGTTGATTTGATGTTGATGTCGATGGCTGTTTGGTAATGTGCAATCGATTCAATAATTTTGTCAATCGTGTTTTTGTTGCTGTTGTTCTGTTTGATTCTTGTCTAATCATACGTTTATTGAAACTAAGACCAATTGCATTACGATTCGATCCATTAATATTGGAATTAGTAATGTCATTGCTGCTGCTGCTGCTGCTGCTGCTACTGCTGCTATTTGAACTTAATTCAGCTACAATTATATTGGTGTCGATCAAATCATTATGGTCGTCATCGTCGTTACAATTAGTGAATTGCTTTTCATTCTAATTTGTTCATTGGTAAGTGGTTCAGAAACATACACATAGGCATATACGAAAAAAAAGAGAAATTAATTGAGCAATTGATTTTATTTGAAGAGGTCAAACCAAAAAAAAAAAAAAAAAAAAAATAAATTGGTTTGATTCATTGATATTCTTTGAACGTCAAACGTGAAACCTAAACTGTAATACTGACCTCTTGCTGTACACATCGATAATCGGTTAATGTTTGGTTATTATGGTTATTACGCCATTTGTGGTCATCTATACAAGAAGCTTCAACTTGCTGGCCGTCATCATCATAATCATCAAAATTGACAAAAAAGTTGTCATGTGTTGTCGTTGTTGACAAATTGTATGCTCCATAATGAGATCCATTTCTCATTGATCGATTTAAGCAACGTTTGATTATAGCCAAACATTCTCTTATCGGTTTCATTATGATTAATATTGTTGTTTCCAATGATGTTGGCTCAACTGGATCAAGAATTGTTTGGTTTTGTTTTGTTGATACAGATTCTAACAATGATGACAATGAAAATGACAACGATGATAATGTTGAATCAATGTTTTTCGGTTGATTTGTTTGATCATGGTTGATGTTTTTTGATGATCGTGATGGCCAACAATAAGAAGTTTGTTGTTGTTGTTCCGTTCGAATTGTAGACTCATTAGGGTCATGTTTGCTCGATATACGATTCTGTTGCTGTTCAATAACTTTGTCAGCATCATCATCTTCGTCTAGTCGAATAATCTCATCAGGTTCATTTTGTTGATCAGCATCTATACTTTGCTGCTGTCGATTGTTCTCATGACGATCATTATGAACTTCAGCAGATGAAATCAATTCTTCATGATTAGATTTTTCATCCAATACTGTTGTTTGTTGGTTTAGATTTTTTGTTTTTTCATCCCGTACATTTTGTTTTCGTCGACGCCGTTGTTTCAGTGCTGTGAACAAAAAAAAAAAAAATCAAATAAAACAACAAAACATAAAAAACTGCTATGAAACAAGATTATAAAGTAAAATAAGACAAAACCAACAACAAAAAAATAACGAAATGATTGGACCAGATCCAATAGTGATAGAGAAAAAAACATGTGAAAAATATGAAACAATAATAAAAATTGAAAACATCACACACACACACACACACACGAAATCTAAAAATGGAATTCACTATGGGAATTATCCGGAAAAAGGAAGTAAAGCAATATGTTTTATTTGTTTACCCAACAATACTGATGGATGATGTGGATGTGTACCAAGTGTATCATTATTGACCGATGTAGTGGATAGGAATCGCCGTAGCCATGCACAACCAATTGCAATTATGACCAATAAAACAATAATGACGATCAAGCCTTTGAAACGTAAATAGGCCCAATTTTTACGATTATTAATTACAATGGATGATGTTGCTTGAAAGTAAACCAATTTTTGAAAAAAAAATTATTAGACATTAAAAATCAATGCACCTACGCGCGCGCTAAATTCGTGTTGATAGAATCTTGACATTAACAAAAAAAAAAAAAAACTATCGTGCTTTATGGTAGTTTTTTTCAGATAAATAGCTATCAATGATCAGTGAACATTCGGTAATTATAATTATCGCTATCATTATCATGATTATGGTAATCATCATTTAATCGAATAAACTATAATAATAATGCCAATCTGATGATTTCATCATTAATGTCTGATTCAAATAAATGTCTTTTGCGGCCATATGGATGTTATCACTTCATTATATAAGAAAGGAAAAGAAAAAAAAATGAAAGAAAATTCTGAAGTTCATCATCAACATCATAATAATAGTCCAAAATTATTAGACTTTTAGATAAGAATTCACTAGTTAGTTAGTTTATATGTGAGAGCTCACGCTTTAGATCTAAGATAATATTTAAAAAAAACCATACATTGATTGCCCGATCCAATAACGACGATGTTGGTGGCCTCACTACCATCATCATCTACAGGATGATTGAAATTGACATTTAAATAAATCAACGGTTCACTAATATCGATGGAATTTGTCGAATAAATAATGATATCAATATTATTGTCTGGATTAAAATTTGAATCAAATTGAAATCGAACTGTCTGTTGTTGATCAACGGATTCATAATAATGATTATCATCATGGATTAATTCCTTTAGGGTGTATAATAGAATTTTTTCTGTTTCAATTATGATTCGATGTTGTTGTCCAATAATATCACTATCTTGATTTTCAATTTTAATTTCTTCCATTTGTTCATCATCATCAATATCACTATTTTTGGCCATCGATTCAATAGCAAGGATTAAACTCCGTAACATTGATAGTGATTTTTTTGATGAATCATTTTCGCTTTGTAAAGAATCATTCCAGAATTTCTGCCATCTTGTATTGGACAATAAACCAATTAAATGGAATGATTGTCCCGACGATGAAGATGATAAGCTGCCATCGTTTCCCGGGATACATTCAACAAGAGCTTTCGGTTCATTGTCGCTAGATAAATCGCTTGATTTGTCCAATCGAAACATACAGCTTTGTACCTTTTGTGGTGGACCTGGTGAAAGATAATTAAGTCATGATTGTGAAAAAAATTTTTCTTGCTGTGAATTTGGTATGGATTGACTTTTCAATAAAATGCTTACCCGGATGAATGTGTAGCATAAACGTGCATGGTTTTTTTTGCTTACCAATCATATTCTGTGCTTGACATTGTAATAACAATGTAGAATATGAATCCATCATCGGTTCATTCATGTTCGAATCTCTGTCGTCATATTCATCTTTATGAACAAATTGATGGCCATTATAATGACGGTGATTATCATCGAAATATTGATTTACAGCGATTATCACGTCCAATAAAGAACTGTCATTGACAGTTATGATTGTTTCCATTGCCGATATTTGATGATGTTTTTTATGGCCATTATTTTCTATATCGCTCATTTCGTTGAATTCATCATCATCATCATCATGATTTTTGTTTCCACCTCTTCCACTGATTTCGAAAGCTGTGATGATGATAACAACCATTTATAGGTAACATTGACTGACGGTTCAGAATCGACTTGACAATCGACTATTATTGTGCCAACATTACGGCGAACAATCAAGAATTGAGTTTCTGGATTCAAACATTTAGGTGCATCTGAATAATGAAATGAAAAAAAAAATGAAAATGAGTCGACAAGTTTTATAGAGTAATCATCAAAAACTAAAAAATCTGAATAAAGTACAGAATGTTTCAATGATTTCTATTAATATATCGAATTCAACTATTTTATTTTTCTCCTTCAAGAATATAAATAAAAAAAAAATAGTAGGAAAAAATCAAAATAATATCATATTCTATGATTGTAAATGCCATTATCATCAACACTTACACGCAACATTTAATTTGATAATTTCACTGAAACTTTCATTGATTGAATTAACCGCTTTACAACGATAATATCCATAATGATGGAAACGATTGATCGTTTTCAATAATAATGTTTGATTATGATTGAATAAATCGAAATATTTGAATGTAATAGCAATGTTTGACGATAAATCATGAATCGATGATGATAAGCTTTCAAATTTCTGTTCATAATCATCTACAACATTGATAACAGTATCATTTAAATACCATAACACTTGGTCAATCCATGGATTTGCTTTGATATGGCAATTTAATTCCAATGACAATAGATCTTCAGTAATGGTCAAAATTTTCTGCTCTGGTTGTTCCACATCATCGACATTTACATTACGTTCGAATTGTATTAGGCTTAAATCGTTAATGTTATAGTTATAGTTATATAGTTATTGTTGTTATTATTTTCACTATTGTTTTCCGGTTGTTGTTGTTGTTGTTGTTTTGTTGTTGATCATCTATCGGTAAACCAATTCCAATTGTAACGATTGGTCCATCTGTCATTTAATAATAATGTTATTACATTTTAAACATATGAAGAAATTTCCGATTAGAATATATATGTATTGTATGTATGAAATATTATTGTTATTATTGGATAAATAAAAGAATATATTTCATGCAACTACTATAAACACTAACATCATTATCATCATACATACATTGAATATTGAGCGTAATTTTATCGGTTATCCTGTTGTTGCTTTTGTTAGGGTTGTTGTTGTTGTTACTGTTGTTGTTGTTGTTGTTAAAATTTCGGCCACTAAACGAATTGTTCGCGATAAAATTATTATTATTATTATCGGCCATGGCGATAAATGGATTGGAAGCTTGACATGAAAGAATACGATTATTGTCACTGAAATTGGGTATGAATCGAATAATTGATAAGGTGCTATTCGTTTTATGTGTTTCGATAATGGACAAGAATTTACATTGTCGACGATGAGTTTGGCGTTGTTGTTGAGATAATAAGTCGTTTGGATAGTTTATTTGTTCATTTATTGGAAGTTGCCAGTTTGAGTTGTCATTACTCAACAACACCTCTGATGATGATGATGATGATGATGTTGTTGTTATTCGGTTGACCATTTGGCCATTTCCGTTGACAATGTTGTCATCATTGACAATGCAATTGTTAAAAGATGTTGGTAACCATTGGTATGATTCAGTTTTTTGGATAGGAAGCTCATTATCGACACTGTTGGATACTGTTGATGATGTTCTAAGTGTTACAATTATTCGTTGATCATCAAGAAACCATTCGATATTGGCATTCGGTTTAGAACCTTCAGTACGGCAACCATATTCGACAATTGTACCAGCCCTCACTGGCTGTGTTGCTGCTGATAAACTTATCTGCTGATGATATCGGCTCATAAAAATTCTAACGGTAAGAGGCATCACTGGACAAATCATAAATGGTCATTGATAGAAAAAAAAAATAATGATCATCATTATTATTATTATAATGATACCAAATTACGATCAAATGAAAATCTTGAAAAGAAAAACAAAATCCATCTTCGATTATTATTATTATTATTATTATTACAATTCATGTCGATGGTAATTGAAGCGATCATTGGACGATAATAGAATCGAGTCGACGCACGGCATAGATAGCTGGCCATATAATCATTCCGATCTAATCGCCGTAAATTGAGAACATTAACCACGGCTATTCGTACAGTACCATTGATTGTTGAATTCTCTAATGTATACGATTCATAGCTATCATCGACAATTTCTTCATAGAGTCGTTGTTTTCGAAACCAAATTACATTCGGCTTCGGATTTCCTATTTTTGTTCGTATGTGTGTGTGTGTGTGTGTGTGTGAGCGAAATGAGAATCAGTGGTTATCGAACAAAATAGATGAAAAAAAAAAGAAAAGAAAAGAAATTTCTATTTCAGTATTTATTTATTTCTGTCATTCGATCGTTTGTTAATCACTATGAATGAATTAAATTTGAAACAAAGTTTTTTATTTCATTGGTTACACTTAACGTGCCAAATCCGCCTTTTACAATAATGAAAATGATGACACTTACCTCCAAAAACTTTACAGATTAATGTGATATTTTGGAATTCATTATATGGGCCAATTATACCTTCTAATTGATTTCCTTCCGAATCGGTTATTTGTATAGAGACTGGTGGGCCTAACGTAACGTAAAAAGATATGAGAAATAGAATTTTTTCGCTTTTGTCAGCCAAAATTATTGAAAACCAAACTAATCAAACAGGAAACTAGAATACGAATACAAACAATACTACTAACCAATAATGTTGAGGCGTATTTCGGTGGAAAATGTACGATGATTCGAGTATTCTACCCGGCAATGATATAGGCCTTCATCATGTTCGGTCACGTTTTTGATTCGTAACAAGGGCGTCATTTTGTTCAGATCTAATACCATACGACTATCATTGGTTATATGTCGTACGGCCGGATTAGTCAACATCGAATGGTCGATCGATTCTTCTCCACCATCATTATCATCATCATCATCATCATTAACATCTTCATTGTTGTTAAGCAAATCACCTAAAGCTCGAGCATCGACTGTATAAAATGGAACACTTACTCCATCTCGATACCATAGAATTAAATTAATTCGACCCAATGAATCACGATATCGAATACGCTTAATAAGACGATCCGTTTGATCTGGTTGATTATGGAATAGGTTCCAATCTATCAATGAACTTCGTGTCTCACATGGTATAAATGCATCCTGATTCAAAATGGCTGTTATTTTCATCAAACGTTCTACTTGATTTGAATGTATCTATATAAAATCAATACATTTATCGTTCAATCAAAATTATTAGTTACCTGAATGGATGGAATTAAACATGATAAGAATCAATATGCAAAACAGAAGCTTGATCATATCCATTATGAATCTGGTGTTCTCATAAATGAATGAATAGAAATTTGTAACACAAAAAACCGTATCGAATCATAATGGACGATGAACTCTTTTTTTTAGAAAAACAAAACAAAAATTAAAAGATTATTGGGCATCGCCCAATGATGACCAACAAAACATATACACAGATGAACGGAAAATATGTCCATGATTTTTTTTTCTTCCAAACGCCAACCATTCTAACTTAGCATCGTTATTTAATCGATTTTGTGGGCGGATCATTGTTTGATGATCTAATGACATTTTTTTTTCATTTTTTTTTGTTCGAATGGTTGAAATAATTTTTTTTCTTTGTATTTCGATCAATTCATTTTGTTCGATTTCATCATCATCATTATCGATAAATAAAATCGATTCTTTTTTCTTTATTTCAACATAGCAATCATCTACAGAAATCATCGATTTCTTTATTGGTCTAATGATTTTAAGATATAGCAGCCTCTTTGTGTCCATCACGTATCATCATCATCATCATCATCATCATTAACATCATTTGTAGATGCTTATAATACCATATTTCTTATTATTGTATATACAGCACATTCTTTCTATGCTATAACCTTCGGGCCTTGTATAGAGATCGAATCAATCAATAAATAAATAAAATATCCAAAAAAAAAATTCAATCACGAAAAAATAGGCGTAAAAATAAGACAATCAAACTTTATTTTTGTTCAAATTTGCCATCTTTTTTCTATTATTCAGCATTATTTCTCCTATTTTTTTTATTGATTGATTTATTATCGTTGTTGTCATTTTGATTTTTTTTCTCCTCTTGATTACTTATTCGCTTGATGATCATCATTGTGATGGATTTAGTGATCCAGAAACAAAAATCCATTACCATTTGGGATTTGGTGTTTTTTTTCGCAACAACAACAACAACAACAATCCAGTGCAATGAAATACGATAATCAAAACTAATTTGGTTTGGACCAACAACAAAAAAAAAAACAAAACAAAACAATTAATTTTCGAAAATTGCTGCAGTTTAGTTATACACAGTCAAGTTGGAAGTTTTTATACGGAAGAAACACGCTAAAAATAGTTTTATGATAATGTTTTTTTTTCTATTTCGACAATAATTGCCATTGATATATATATCATAATTATTGTTTTTTTCCATTCAACTTTGGATTTATTATTAAACCAAAATGAACATCCACACAACAATAACATTTATGTGAAACGACTTGATTCAAACAAACAAATTCAAATTCTGTTCAAATGTACTTATTCAAATTTTGTTAGCTTTTTCCAAGAATTCGATTGATTTTAATTAAGTTTTTTTTTCTCATTACGTGATTAGATACTTGTCTAATGGAATTTTTCTCCTTTCCTCTAAAACTTTGATTACAGTTGATCAAAAAAAAAAAAAAAAAAAAATTAAGATATTAATTTGTTATCATCATCATTAAAATCAATTGTCATCATAAAACTAAATGAGAAAAAAATGTCTCTATACATGTGTGTGTGGTGATGGCGTCGTCAACTGTACAAAATAATTAGACATTGAGCCAAAAAAAAAAAAATTTTACAGGTAATAATGATAACCAGAAAAAAAATTAATAATTGACATTATGATGTGACGAATATGGGTGAAAGAGAAAGATGGAAAAATTTTATTAATACAACGACCACAATAGCAACGATATCAAATTCACAATTGTTCATGTTCAATTATATGGTTTTTATTGTTCTTTAAAAAAAAAAAAAAATTAATTCATTAGGGAAGAAAACAACCTGCTGGCAGGTGTCTACGATAATGATAATTGAATATACAACACAATCCTCTGTAAAAATTTATGTATTCAAACAAATGATGATTAACTATCATCGATGTACTCAGAACATCTTAATTTTTTTTTTTTTGGTACCCATGACAATAGAAAACCATATTCAATAAAGTAAATCTGTGTCTTCAATCATCATCATCATCATCATCAAGTCAAGAAGCCACGAGCGTCATCAATTACCTATACACATACAGCGAAAAAAAAATACAATCCATTTGTCAACGCAATTTTTTTTTTTTTTGCCTTGAATCGTCATCAGCCATTTTTTATTTATTGTAGATGCCCAAATGGATGTTTAATGATGATGATGATGATGATGATAATGATGATAATGTTAGTTAGTTGGTTTCGGTTTGGTTGATTGATAATCTTCTTTTAAACGATCATCATAAGGAAAAGAATTTATTTGTTTGTGTGCATGTAAGAGTTGTGTATTTCAACATTTTTGATTTTGATTGCATTCACTTGTAACCATCTTTTTTTCTTCTTTACATCTCATTTCTTTTTTCTTTCTATGTGTGTGTGTGTGTGTATTAGATTCTATTTTATTTCTAGATTGATCTTTATAATTTTATTTCTTTTTTTCAAAAAAAAAATTTAGAAAATTCCTTTTAATGGTTGAATCTTGTTATAATCATTTGAATCAATTTTATGCCTGTTAAAGACACTAAAAAAAACCTTAAAAGCTTAATATCTTGGATTTCAGTTATAGTAAACACAAATCATCATCATCATCATCATCATCATCATCATTGTTCGTAATTGATATTTATCAACATTGATGAAAATGTCGTTGACAGCTACAAACAACAATAATAATAATAATGACAACATTAACGGTGAACAAGAGCTAACATCGTATCTGAAATCTATGTTCATCAAATTGAACGATAATAGCAATATAGATTCGAATCCACAGATACAGCCACAACAATCATCAATCGACAATGCTACCAATAAGATCATCGTGAATGGTGATGGCATTAGTGTTGTTGTTTCAAACTCCGATGTCAAACACAGTGATGATCGTAACCAATGTGAATCGAAAAAATTCGATGAATTATCAAAACCGTCCATCATCACCAATGTTGGCGATCGACAAATAATCGACGATAATAATAACAATGTTGTTGTGGTCACTTATGATGATGATAGTCGTAACAAAATCGAAACAAAAAATCAGAATGATACATTAAATAAAATTAATGGTTCTTGTTTGGCTGTTCAAACAAATAATTCGAGCACTTCATCACTATCAGCATCATCAGTGATGACCGAAGAGAAAAACAATCAGAACATCATCATAAACAGTAATGATCAAAAACAGGATATAATAAGTGAACAGCAGCCAAAATCGCCAGTTAATGATCATAAACTGAATCAAAGTGATAGTTTTGCTGATAATAATAATAATAATCTTGGTAATAATCATCATCGAAAAAAACAAGAGCCAAAAGAAATTGACCATACAAATGATCATGTTGTTATTGATGAAAATGATAAAGATTTTCAAAAAAAAACTGATCAAGAAAATTTTATTAATGAATTGTTACAAAAAATACCAAAAGCATCTGTAGAAGAACGAAAAAATCATCAACATCAACCTCTTAATACAGATAATAATAATAATCCTACAACAATTACACAAGAGTCAATTTTATCTTCTTCTCTTGGTAAAATCAATGAGAATGTACCATTGAATAATTTTGAATCGTCATCACCATCATCATCACTATCGGAATCCGGAGCCGATAATATTGAAAAACAATTTAACGAATCAGGCGTACATTCAGATGAATCAAGATGTAGCAGTGTTAGCCAAGTTGAAACATCATCCATTAATTCGATTGAAACAAACATCCATAACAACGTTAATCAACGATCAAATGATACAGATAATCGAATTTACAGTCGACCAACAAGTATGGTCGAAGTTTTCGATAGTGATATCATTTCCGAAGTGAACAAACAAAAAATATCTAATTTTCGTTTCGAATCAATCAAAGAAGATCGGCCAGTAACCAGAACACGTGTACAAGAATTACGTGAATTTTGGAATGATCGTTCATTGATAACTAAAGCGAATCAAGACAAGAAATAATCAAAAACAGAAGCAGAATGAATAGGAATTTTTTATTTTATTATATATGATTATGATTTCAAGATGATATTGTTTTTTTTTGTAACAATAGTTTGATTATTATTATGAAACTAAAAAAAAATGTTTGCGTTATTTAGTTTATGAATTCATCTTTATTAATTAAATAATAAACAAATACAATTCATGTTTTATTGAAATAGAAAATATAATATTCGGATAATTTTAACTTTTTTGCCCATTAATGATGATCATGATGATGATGATGATGAAGATGATGATGATAGTACGACTAATCGTAATTTTTTTTCTAAATAGATCAATCAATTTTGTCATCAATTTTACGTAAAGCATTGATACGATCCAAAATTGGTGGATGTGAATGCAACAATAGTGAATAAAGCCAATCATAAACAGGGAAGCTAAGATTATCCTTGTTCAATTTTATCAATGCATTAATCAATTCAGTACGGAAATTTAAATTTTTAGCAAAATTGTCAGCTTGAAATTCAAATTTTCGACAAATGATGCTCATGCCAAAGTTGTAGAGCTATATGGAATAAATAAATAATTATCAATTAATAACAATTGAAAAATGTTTCAACATGGTTCTCACCTCAAAATATAGAAGAAATATGGTCTCAATTATGATAGTCAGACCAATAAATCGTGGCATATTGTTTTCGCCATAGAAACCAAAAGCATGATAAATTACAGTATCATTATAGAATAATGATGCAATTTTGAATATGAAAAATAAATTAAACAATGAGATGACTAAATTCTTGAATATGTGACTATGATACCAATGGCCTAATTCATGACAAATAATGGCCACAATTTCTTTCTCTGTACAACCGGTTGCTTTTTTCTCATCAGTTTTTTTGGTTGAGGCCGAATCACTTTTTTCATTTTCCGATTCTTCTGTTGTTGCAGCCTTTTCTTCTTGATTTTTTTGAAATATGGTGAATCTTTATCGAATAATGTGTCATATAGGACGATCTGTTTTGATTTGAAAAATCCATAAAAATAAGCATTAGAATGGCTGGAACGTTTTGAACCATCAACGACAAAAATGTTTTTCAATGGAAATTTAATTTGAGTTGCTAAACGTTCGATTTCGGATCTCAAAGAACCTTCTTCCAATGGTGTATATTTATCGAACAACGGTGCAATCAACGATGGATAAATGACCATGAAAATGATGGCAGTTCCGCTGGAAAAAAACCATAGGTAGAAAAAGAATTGGTCTTCAAAACGGATGATGATGTAGGTTGCACCGCCGACCAACAATGATATAATCGGCTGAAATACGAGAAATTTTTTAAAAGTATCCCAAAGGAAAAACTTGAGCGTATATTTGTTGAAACCATGACGTTCTTCAATGACGAAATTCGAATACAATGAGAAAGGAATATCAATGACTGCAGATATGGCCGTTTGTAATAGGAAAAACATAATGGTCGAAACGACTTCATTCTGGTAGCCAAAATATTTATAGGTTATTTGTGTCGACAAATTCCAAAGAATTGAAGCCAATAAAATCCAGATGATAAGCTATAGTGAGTGTAATAATCTTTTAATCAAAACAACTTATGTAAAATTTCGTTTTACATACCGCTTTTTGACAAATACTGAAAATTTCACGAAAAAACCGAAATAACTTCTGTCAAGATTATAAAGACGTGCTCTTCTGAAGCTTCCTTCATCCATATACGGTGCCAGATCGAGGGGAAGTTTTTGTTGTTTCTTATAAATCTTATGCTATAAATGTAAATTTTCAATTTATTATCAAATTTTAAAGGAGAATACAACCGTTTACCTGACGATAGTGAAGATAGAGATCCCAAAGACTGATAATTACATTCGAGATCAGTGCATAATAAAAGAAATTAGTCGGCGTCCAGTATGGACGAAACCATTCGATTATATTGGCAAACATTTTCTAATCATCAAATATCTGTATTAAATGATGCAATATAGATTTGTGAAAATTTTAAATCATTCAATTTTAGTTCAAAACTTACCTGGATATATTTGTGAATCAATCAAATCAACATTAATTTTCAACAAAAGTGAAAATGAAAATATTCGTTTCAGAAAATTGAAATTGAAATTTGCAAATCCAGCCGGCAATCAAAAATTTTTCCAAAAAATGACAAATCAATCCGAAACAAAGAAATTGGGCCGATCCGTATACAACGGTTTTTTCAATTGTCAGTGTTGGAGCATTGCAGCGTGCCATTTCAGAATCCAATTTTTCTTCTCGAAACATCCATTAAAATGTTCTGTTCATAAAGTATATGACAAACGAGTTGCTGCCAACGCTTCAATTTTTTTTTTGTTAAAGTCCATTGCAATGCATGCAATTTATCCATTGCTTTATTGTTTTTGTTTCTGAATGTTTATTTAACTGTATATCATATGATAATTCAGAAATTAATCATCAAGCTGTTTATTTATATTCGTTTGATTGTTTCGTGGCTGTTGAAACAAACACACACACACATTTTATTATCTCTTATGTGATATTTTTATTTGGCATTTGTAATTAAAGTTTGAAAAAAATAAATATATTGCATTTATATACCTTTCAGGCGTAATCATTGGTTTGTCTTCGTGGTCAATTGCATTTTCAATTCATCATTCAACCAACACAATTAACCTTGATTTATACATTTTCACATTCTATACTAGCCACGATTGATGATTTACTTTTAATATAACTATCATTATTGGAAATGCTTCTTTTTACATCTAAATTAAATTTACAACTCATCATTGTTTAAAAATTTTAAATTATTGTTTAAAAAAACATGGATAAAAAGCGATCCACATCTTCAATGTCTATTTCCAATACATTCGAATCATTGCCACCATCTTCCTCTTCATCATTTGCAATGCCTATTCAACCACCAGAAAGAAATTTACTGGATTTTCCAAATGAAATTCTACATGAAATTTTCAAATTCATTTCTTATGAACAGATTTCAAAAATGCGACTCGTTTGTCATCATTTTAATCGTATCTGTTCAGATAAATTGAATAATGAATTTAATTCACTACGAAACTTTACACAACATTTATTTCAAACTGTTAAAAGTCAAATGCCACGACGAGAATCAGCACGCCGTAAACATGCACTTGCTCGTGAATATGATATAATCGAAACATTGAATATGCGATTAACATTGTTACAGATGACATTCAGCAAGCACATTAAACGTAATCATTGTTGTTTTTTTCCAGGCGAAATTATCGACGAAGTTCATAGAATTCTTAACTATGTTAAACAGACGCCCGTCGTAAATCGTGCATACAAAGTAACGGATGAATTATTCGACCTATCAACAATGGCAATGGAATATTTTAAAGAATCTATTGAACCCAAATTGCCTGACGTAAATTATCTAATTCTTGATTATGAACAATATCCTAATCTTCCATCATCATTGTCTTCACTGGAAAAAGGCATTAATAGTAGCAACAGTTGCTGTAATGGTAATAATCCTAAATCTGCACGTTTGAAGCCAATATTTGAATCATCATTAGGAAATAATAATAATCGAAATAAACAAGCTGCAGCTGTTATTGATAATTCCAAACTTATCCGGTTAAACGATGATAAAAGCAAAAAGAATCATTAGTAACTTTGGATTCATTTGTCAAAAGTACGACAATCCGTTTGAAGCGTTTGGAAAAATCCAACACAGAACATAATCTAATCTCACAAACAATGAAAACTTCAATGGAATCATCTAAACGTAAATTTGGAGAGTATCAAAAACAATTTCGTAAACATCAAACACATCTAGATGAATTGGATCGTAAACTGGAAGGATTCAATTTAAAATTCAACCAAATATTAGAAGAGATGAGCAAGATGAGAGACATGATACAGAAACAATCAGCAAGTTCATTGATGGAAGCTTCCACTCAAACAAGTGAACCGCACGAAAAATCAATCATTAAAATTCCTGTGGATTCCACTAAACAGCGACCTCGACGAAAACGGCAAAAAGTATCGGAATGAAATTTCAATTTTTTTCATCTTAATCATAAAAGTCATTTTATAAATAGTAAATATCTAAAGTTTTAGTTATTTAGCATAAACACAATATTATAATGTGTGAAACCAACTAGATCATCACATTGCAAATATGTACAGAATAATCATTTAACACATTTCATCATTAAAATCATTATCATCGATGGTTTTCCAAGTGAAACCATTTCCTGTTGGTCCGAAATTCGATGGCAATAATATATGGCGCCATGGGTGTCGATGGCGATCGAAGCCTAAAAATCTGCACCAATTTTCTCGCCAACCAAAATCATATGGATTCTGGTAATGGCGATTATAGCGTTGAAAATGTCGACGACATTTACGATTTATATAACGTTCAATGCATGTTTCTCCACTGTTTACCAATATCGTGTGATAACGTAATAACAAACCTAAACGAAAAAATAACATTGATTGATATAAAATATTAATTTACACACAGCTTCAAGCTTATATTATACCTAGAAGAATAAATAATAATACTGTTATAATGGCTTCAAATACCATTAATTTTGTTTTCCATTTCGGTCGATTGAATAGCCAAAGAAATTGAATGACTAGAGAATTTGTAACATAATCAGTATCGAACCATTGAATTTGTATTGGTTCGAACGGACTAAATTGAGGAAACCAATGGTCGACGGCAACCCAAACGCCAAAAGCCATAACAAATATTGTTCCCAACCAGGTGTATGCACAAAAGAAATAAAAATATCGATGATTATAATGGCCAATACAATTGTTGAGCCATGGACAATGGTGGTCCATTTTCAGGATGCATCTATTTTTTTCGAATCAAAGTACATGTTTCATGTCATCATCATATACATTCGATCCCCATTTAACTTACTTGTTGCAAACTGAACAATGATGGCATCTTGGTGGTTTAGCTGCTGAACATTTTTTACAAAATGAAGTCACTTCGATAATGATTGGTTTCTGATATGAAAAAATTATTTTCAAAAAAAATTCTGTACAAATTTGCCAATACATACATCAATGGCCCAGCCAGGTAAAGTATAAAGTGATTTAAAATAATTCCATATAACATTGATCAAAAGCCAGTGTCCAATCACAAATGCTATCCAAAAAACTGGCTGTGATCGATGGTACCAATATGGAACTCCTGTAAAATAAAGAGATGATCATTAATTTTTTAAATTTATTTTTTTTCAAATCATCACAACAAACCAATAATATAGGCAAAAGAAATGAATGCCAAAAGTAGAAAAAATACAACAAGAACAAAAATTGTTCCGCAATATTTAAGATAATGATCGACTGCATAAAATATAGGATCTAAAATAGTATCTGCTAGATAATATGCATCGGAATGTGAATTATAAAAATGACTTTTAAAAAATAATAAACATAATCGATAACGATCGAACAATTGATGTTTCCATTGATTCCAAATCAAAGACCATTTATGTGATAATCGCCTAATGGAGTATTTGGGCATATTTTATTTTATTTTATTCATTATTATTTTAATAATAATTTGAAATTGTCATTTTTTAAAAAATAATTTTTTCTGTTTATAACTTTAATTGAAGAAGATTCCAAAAAGGCTATATCAACACAAATGAATATCATAATCTGTTGACAGAGTTGAAATCGTTGCCATAAAAGGTGTTTATAAAATTTTTTTGTAAAATGGTCATTCTTATTTTTATTATCAAATGATCATTTCAAACTATCGAATACAATGTCAAATTTGAATACAGATGCATTAGAACGAGAAGTCTATCAGACTGCTTTTAAACATGTATCTAACATGCTTCAACGGCCAGATCAATTGGACAAAATTGAACAATACAAGAAACGTGTCAAACGAAATATTGTAAGTTATTACTATATTTCTATAATTCATTATTAATATTCTTTTTATTTATATTAAGAACTCAAAAGAAAGTATGTTAAAAACTGCGATGCAAACACAATTGGATGGCGTTAAAACAGGATTGATACATTTAAAAGCTGCTGCGAATGACATAAGCGAAATTAAAAACACTATTCGTCTTATCGAAGAGACATTTCCATCAATCCCAATGCTATATGAAAAATTGAAATATGTTCGCGAAGAATCGATGAAACATAGTCAATATGCTGTGTCGATGGAAAATTTGAAACATATTTTCAATGTACCTGAAACGGTTGCAAAAACTCGTGAATTGATCATGGAAAATTATTTGCTCGAAGCACATTTGAATCTTTATGAATTGGAAAAATCGCGCGACAATCTACTCTTTCAATTGCATCGTTTGGCGCCTACCAACAACGCCGACAAGAACATGTTAAAACATTATTATGCTGAAGTTGAAAAATTATCCGAAGAATTGGGCAAACAACTTTGGCTCATTATTCGTTTGACATTGAACACTGTACGAAAAGAACCTTCGTTGATCGTCACAGCTCTTCGTATAATCGAACGTGAAGAATTACTAGATGAAGCAGCAATGAAACGAGCTGAATCTACAGGGTTCATGTCACAAGGACGACCGAAAAATTGGAAGAAACGAGTATTTGAAATCCTGGAAGAAGCGGTAAACGAAAGAATCGCTGGTAATAAATTTCATGAACGATATGAAAATAAAATGTGGCTAGTAATGCATTTGGAAATGACAAGAAAAATCATTTTGGATGATTTGAAAGTCGTTAAATATGCATGTGTTTCATGTTTTCCGCCATCGTATGATATAGTTCGACGAATGTTTCATCTTTATCATCGATGTTTGAGTGCCTACCTGCAAGAATTGGTCAGCACACTTGAAGGCAACGAATACATTACTCTTTTAAATTGGCTCAATGCCTATGAAGGAACTGAATTGCTTGGACATCCTGATCTTCGTTTCTCATTAAAAGATGATTGCTTGCCTCCACTACTTACCGATGAAATTATTGAAGATCTTATGACCAAATATCTGTTGACTGTCGAAAAGAATTATAAAGAATGGTTAGCCAACACCATTCGTCATGAATCAAAAGATTGGCATACGAATCACCATCCAGAAGCTGATAATTCTGGCCATTATCAAACGACGACACCTGTTATTGTATTTCAGATGATCGACCAACATTTACAGGTAGCCAGTATAGTCAGCATGGATCTAGTCAATCGAGTATTACTTTTGTCAATGAAACATTTGACTGAATTCGCTAAACAATATCAAGAAGCAGTAAACAAATATGCTAAAAGTCATTTTGATAATCGAACACAAAATTTCACTCCCAACATGATTGCCATTTCAAATAATTGTTCCAGTTTGATGGATAATGCCTTAAAATTTCAAAAAGAATATCGTAAGGATGACTTGAATCAATTGAAGATGGATAATGCTTTTAGCAATATGATCAAATCTTTTGAAAAGCTCAAGGAAGAAAGCATAGGCTATTTGATTAAGGAAATTTTATTAGATGTTGATTGTGAAATCAACAAAGTTGGCAGTATTGAATGGTTGGAAGGAACCGTTTCGGTGGTCGATAATGTTCGTCTCACTCTTGAGGATTATTTACGTGACTATGTCTACTTGAAAGATGCTAATTCAGATGCCCTTAAAGTGCAATTGCAAAAAAGCCTAGCAAAATCTTATATTGCATCAATTCTTTCGAAGCGAACTCCATTAAGAAGCCAAAGTAAACGGGAAGATTTTGCTCGAAAATGTATAGAAGAAGCCAGAACAATTGATGAAACTATTGAAAAATTACCAACTAAAATAGAATCCAATTCTGGAGTTGAAAATCCATTCAAAGTTGTTCCTATGTTAATGGATTTTCTCAAACTAAATGATTTGTCCATGCTATATCTCGAAATAATGGTAATATATTGAATATATTCACATATTTTAATTTGTACAGCTCAAATTTATTTTTTAACACACAGAGTTTTATGAAACACTATCCAGATATTAAAGCCGATCATTTTGTTGCATTGTTAAGTTTACGTGAAGATATCAAAACCGGTGTACGAAAGGTAAGGCTTTTAATAATCTATTGATTGAATTGAATAATATGATTCAGAATTCCATTTCAATTATCACACAATTTAGAAAGTTGCCGAATCGATGCCACCTGATACGGATATCGATAAGAATATCAGAACAATATTTTCTGAAATAATTATTAATTAATTAATTAACAATTTATAAAAAAAATAATTTTTGTAATAAAAAAAAAATAATTATTTATATGGAAATGAAAAAAAAATTTTTTTAAAAACATAACGATGAAAATCAAGTTATCATGTTAAATTGTGGAACGCGCCATCTATATTCAAAAAGAAAGAACACAGAATATTTTTATTCCACGTCCCATTCTTCTACTCATTTTGTCATTCAAATTCATTTTTTTGTTTTGTTTTTCAAAATCTTGATCTCTATAGAATTATGCAGAATTAATAAACCAAAGAAATGTCTTCTTTAGGTCAATTTATTAATAAAAAATTTGTATTCTGTGCTGCGGGTATATTTTTCTGCTATTTTTATTATGGTATTCTTCAAGAAAAAATGTATGTATTGATTTATTCAGATTTTTCTTACAGATTCTAATTGATTTCATTTTCAAAAGTACCCGAGCCAAATATGGAATAAAACGTGAACAGTTTACTTATTCAATGTCATTAGTATTTGTTCAATGTATTATCAACACATTATTCGCCATTTTTTTCAATTCATTTTTCACATCGAATGAAAAAGATGGAACAAAATCCAAAGATACGACAACAAATTTTCTTTATGCTTCTGCATCAATTTGCTATGTTGTCGCTATGGTTTCTAGTAATCGTTCATTAGAACATGTATCATATCCCACCCAGGTGATTGCCAAATCTTGTAAACCAATACCGGTCATGATAATTGGTGTTTTATACACCCGAAAAAGATATACCTTGGCCAAATACTTCTTTGTCCTATTGATTGTCATTGGTGTTGGTACATTTATGTACAATCCAAATAAATCTTCATCTGCTGCTACAAATGCTTATTTTATTGGCGAATTATTATTACTTTTATCATTGACCATGGATGGATTTCTTGGTGCTTTTCAGGATAGAATGAAAAGTGAACATCAAACTAAACCTGGCCGAATGATGTTCTGGATGAACGCCTGGTCTACGCTATTTCTTTTGGCTGCATTGATTGTTACCGGTGAATTGAAGCAATTTATAAGTTTTATCAACCGATTTTCATTTGTCATCTGGTCTATTCTACAATTCTCAATCATGTCTGCTGTTGGACAATTATTCATCTTTTTAACCATCACAAATTTTGGTCCGCTTTCTTGTTCATTGGTTACGACTACTCGAAAATTTTTTACCGTCCTATTCTCCGTACTTTTATTTGGAAATTCATTGACCGGGCAACAATGGCTAGGTACGGCGTTAGTTTTTTCGGGTTTAGGACTCGATATGTTTTTTGGGAAACAGCCACCTAAGCAAGCCAAGAAAAATTCAATCTAAAAATTTAGCTATATAAAATTGTATTTATATAACACAAATTAAATATTTTGAGGTCATAGATCAAATTAAAAAAAAAATTTAATTGTATCAACTATTATCGTTTTTACTTTTGAGCAGTTTGGATCGAAATCCATGTCCTTGACAATCAACTTTTTCAGAATAGGATTTTTGTCGACAACAAATCCGACAATATCCAAAATCACATTTTAATCCACGTGGATGTGAACATTGTGAACACAGTTCAGGCAATATTTTCGGTGGTTTTGGTCCTTTTGGTTTTTTCTCTTTTTTAATCTTTTTCTTTACAGGTTCTTCGACGACCGATTCGTTCGTATTGTCAATGACTTTGGTTTCTAATGGTCGATAGTATGGTTTACAGATGAAGACAGGCCAATTTTTCGGATGTTCTTTTGTATGTTGATCATCAGCAATAAATTTCTCATATTCAACATGATATCTTTTCTTGAGCTGATCGGCTACTTTGACGAAATCCTCAATCGAATGAGTTTTGCCAACAATATTTCGCAATTCCAAATGTTCTTCTAATGTGAAACAATGATGAAAAAATTTGAATATATGTCCACGAATAGATGAAAACGAAGATGTATGTTTGCGATATTGTTCCACATATTCATAGGCTGCATCCCAAACTGCCAACGGTTTACCAGTGAACAATGCTGGATTGTACAATAGTCCTTCGGCTGACATTACACCATCAACAATGGTCTCATCGAAACATTTATCTACTTCGATTTTGGATTGAATATTTCCATTTGCAAATACAGGAATACGAAGGTTCTCTCTATTATAAAAAGTATTCAATGATTAAATTGACAAAAAGTTGACTAAGATAAAATTACTTGACTAAACGAATTTTTGTCCAATCGGCCAGACCAGTTTTCGAACCTTTTTGTTCCCTTAGTCTGCCATGAACGGTGATCAATGATGCACCGGCACTTTCAATCATTTTAGCATATTTGATCGTCTTTTCCACATCATCAAAAACACGTATCTTACAAGTCACTGGCTTTGTTAGATTTCGAACAGCTAAATTGACTTTTAAAGAAATTAGATTAAAAATTGTATAGGAAAATTTTAATCGTACCTATATCGTAGATCAGCGACCATTCATCTTGAAGAAAAGCACCATAATGACCTCGTTTGGCTATCGTTTGGGGACAGCCAAGATTAAGATCAATAGCATCACAATGGGATTCAGCTATTTTCGCTGCTTTAAGAAATATTTCAGGGTCATTTGCACAGAATTGAATGATAAATGGATGATCAAATTCTGGATCAGTCTGAAGGAATTCCTGCTGATATTTAGGCTGTTCGAGAAATAATCGAGAGTGTAACATCGGCGAATATGTACAATGGACATTATAACGGCGAACCATCAAACGGAATGGCAACTCGGATTGATCAACCATCGGCGCCAAAATATTACGAGCAGATCGTAAAGTTTTTGACCAAAAATCACGAGCATGATTAACTGTAATTGATACCGAAGAAATAGGCGATGGCTGAAATGTTGGTATCTCACTTTGTTCTTTTACTTGACATTTATCGTGGTCAGATTTCTCAATCATTATTATATTAAGAAACAATTTATAGAATTTTATCTAATCAGTTACAGAAAAAAAAAATTTCCGAATGTAAAAATAAAAAATGAACACGTGACATTTCAAAACAATTCCATAATAGTCAAATCAATATAAGACGTATTTTGTGGTATTTAATTTCTCAGATTAAACAAGCAAAATTTTATTCAACACATCATTAGATATTATTTATTCATTAATAATTTCACAAGATTTAATGGAATGACTCCGATCTGTACAGGTTTTTTGCCATCTTCATTAATCGTACAAGCTACCAACCATTTTGAATCAGGTTGTAGTGATTCTGGTTTGATATATATCATTTGTCCTTTACGGAAACTTAATTCATTCATATTACGAGCCTTAAAATTTTGTAATCCAATAGCCACAAAATGACGCCCATTTTTGGTGGTCCAATCCGGCTGGTTGATTCGTGGAATTTGGCCGGTGGCTCCAAGTAATCGCCAAACAATATATGGTGTACCAAATATCAACGAAAAGAATGCCATCACTGGCCATAATGATGAATGTGGTTTATCATCTCCTGAAGACTCAGATACAGGAATTTTTATTGCATTTGATGATGACATTGCCTCACGCCAAATATCATTATTTATTTGTCGTTCAAACATTTCGCCCAATTTTGTGTGGTTTAAGCCCAAAAACTTGAACATCCATTTGATCAAATTGATTAATGTACAAGCCAAACGAGGAAACAAAGCTAATTCTGTCAAATGATTCCGTATGAAAATCAAATGATCAGCAACACCGGTGATGGTACGAAATGATCCATATAATGTGGAATATGTCGAATCTAGTATCATATTGATTGAGTTAAATGTTTCGAGTATCATTTCGATTGATTTGAATGCCGGTTTCATTTTATCTTCGGCCATTTTCGATATAATTGTAGGCATTGATGAATTATTATACTGATATGGAAGATTTTTACGATGATGCGAATTATTGTTCCAATTGGGGTGATAATGATTGCTGCCATTTTGTTGATAAAAGTTTGGATTAGATAAATTATAGAAAGGTACAGGTTGACCACTTTGGTAATTATTATAAGGAAATTGTTGCTGATAATAATAGTTATTCGGGTTCGTATTCACGGGTGGTAAATTAAGTAATCCATTCAATTCTTTTGGAATAATATTCGAATCACTAAACTGATTCGAATCTAACGATTCGGATTGATTTTCGTTCGAATTAGATTTAACATCGGCTGATTTTTCATTCATTTTGATATTCATGTTCTATTCGCAGTCATTCGACAACTAATCAAAAATTTTATCCATTATCGTTCAGGTATATTGCTCAGGTTGCATTGTTATTATCATATATATGAGTATATTTCTTAAATGACAAGGAAAATCAAATCGTAGTCATCAATTATTATAATTGACTGAAAAAAACAAGTTTTTTTGCCGCATTCATAAACGTACTATTTGAATGAGTGAGAGTCAAGCTGGAAAATTGTTATTTGCAACATATCCAAATAAAATTGCCTGGTTCATTCATTCAGTGAAATCCACGTCATTTGTTTTCATTTTCGAACATTTTTTCATAGAAAAATTTATCCTAAGAGATGTTTTATCCCATATAACGGATCAAAGATGGTTCTTATGACTATGATAGCAAGAATCTCCGATGGATTGCCATTGGCCGCATCCATCCAGGATGATGAAACGGTTTGTTATATTTACTGAAATTGATTTGCTGATTTATTATATTAAAAATGAAATTATTTTCAAAACCATAATTTTAGATTGGTCGCAATATAGTGAATTATCAGAATCAGGCCAAGCATTTATTTCGTAAAATGAATGTTCATTCCCCTGCACAAATGTCCATCGAAACGGACCCATTCATATTTCAGTAAGTTGAATTTTGATTCGATTTATAGTCATATTCATTTATTCATTTTTGAAATTATAGTATTCTCAATGATCAACAAGTTTGTTATCTAGTTTTATGTGAAAAATCCTTTTCCAGGCGAATCGCATTCTCATATCTCGAAGATTTGCAACGACAATTCCAACAGGATTACATGTCTCGAGTGAATAAAGTTTCACGGCCTTATAGTTTTATTGAATTTGGTATGATTCTCTATTATCATGATTTGTCCACATTTCATTTGAGAATTTTCTATCCTCTGTAGATAATTACATACAAAAAGCAAAGAAGAATTTTACGGATTCACGTGCACGTCGAAACCTGAATCAGCTCAATAGTGAATTGCAAGATGTACAAAAAATTATGGTTCAAAATATCGATGATGTTCTCCAAAGAGGTTTGGCCATTTCAGGTAAGTTCTCCTCGGATAAAATATTGGATAAATTTGTCTCATTTTAAAAAATTTATTCCATCCAATTTTTCACAGATCTTGACAATAAAGCGACAAATTTATCAGTATTGTCGCAAAAATATAAAAAAGATGCCAGATACCTGAATCTTCGAGCTACCTATGCTAAAGTTGCCGCTGGTTGTGTGGTTGTATTTGTCATCTTTATTTATTTCTGGATTCTATAAAAATTTATAATCATATTTGTTGAAAAACTAAAAAAAAAATTGTCCTACAAATCAAAATAATGATAATAGCGTCCTTTCCATTCACCCATTTAATATTATGACAAACATATAAACATTTATAAATGTCAATAAAACGGAAAGTTTTGTATTTCCACAAAGTTGAATGAATAAATTAACAAATTCTGTTGATCATTTAATTTTGAATTTTTAGTTCAACCCTAATATTAGGCGCTTTAAAGCAATCTCGATCACACAGCTCATTATACCTGACTATATCGACTGTTGTTGTTCTAAATTTTAACTTGCGGCTTGATCACGTGCTTCAATTACCTTGAATTTTTTTGATGAGCATTTTTGTTTGTTTTTCAATTTGGTCAATTTAATAATTAATTTTTCTTGATTGATTCGGTGAAATGGTACCCGATATTGCTTTACTGAAAAATAAACAACAACAAATTCAATTGCCAAATATCAACTCGGCTACCCCATCACCCGGATCGATCGTATCGACATCATCGCCGGAATCACCAAGTTCATCATCACCATCATGTCCAGGACGATCAGGATCAACATCATCATTTCCCAGTTCACCAGAAAATTTTTCATCACATCATTCAAATACTCATCATCATAATTCAAATGATTATTCATTTTATCATCATCAGCAACGTTCACCCCGGCCACCGACAAATTATCATCGATTATCAACAAATAAATTGCCAGTTTGTTTGGTCAAAAGTCAACTTCTTGATCGAATACAAAATAATGAAACACTGATAATCATCGGTGAGACTGGATCTGGTAAAACTACTCAGATACCTCAATTTTTATACGAGCATCTATCATCATCAAAATATCATCAACCGTCCACATTATCAAATGGCAATTGTACGTCGTCAAGCAAAGTTATTATCGGTATTACACAACCTCGTCGTGTAGCAGCTGTTTCTGTAGCCCAACGAGTTTCTCAAGAAATACAATGTCGAATAGGTGACCTAGTCGGATATAAAATTCGTTTCGACGATTGTACTTCATCTAATACTCGAATCAAATACATGACTGATGGTATATTATTACGTGAAGCCATTCATGATCCATTGCTTTCTAATTATCGAGTAATCATATTGGATGAAGCACACGAAAGAACCGTTCAAAGTGATCTACTATTCGGTATCGTAAAACAGGCCCAACGTTTACGAAGTGGCCAAAAACGTCCACTTGATGAAGATTCTGATTCATCGAATGGTGGCCAGCGGCATTATGAACCTTTGAAAATAATCATCATGTCTGCCACGATGGATGTTGATAATTTTTCCAGATATTTTAATCAAGCACCAGTCATCTATATTGAAGGCCGTGTTTATCCCATTGAAATATTCTATACTGAATCAAAACATACTGATTATGCTACCGCTTGTCTTTCCACTCTGTTTCAGATCCATCAAGAAGAAGATGAATTGACTTTTGGTGATGAATCAACACGACAGAATAATGATTTCAGCCTTATTGGTGGTGATATTCTTGTCTTTTGTACTGGCCAAGAAGAGATTGAAAGCATGATCAAAATTGTACAAAGTTATTCTGCTCAAACGAATATAATGAAAACAAGTAAAGGAACTGTGAAAACATTGAAAGCCTATCCTCTATATTCGGCATTACCTAAAACTAAACAACAAAGAATATTCGATCGTAATTTGAATGATTGTTTTCGTAGAGTTATTTTTGCCACAAACATTGCCGAAACATCAATTACAATACCAAATATTCGTTACGTAATCGATACCGGAAAATTTAAATCAAAAATTTTTTCACCAAAAACTGGCTTTGAGATAATGCGTGTTGAGAACATTTCGAAAGCACAAGCTTGTCAACGGAGTGGTCGTGCCGGTCGTCTAGCTCCGGGCAAATGTTATCGTCTCTATACTCGGCCAGAATATCGATCATTTTCACCGTTTCCCATTCCTGAGATTCAAAAATGCAGCATATACAGTGTATTATTACAATTAATTGCATTGGGTATCAGCAATGTTCAAGCATTCGATTTTATTGATTCACCCTCAATCGAAAACATACAATCATCGCTCAAGAAATTGATGAAAATGAAAGCTATTGAAAAAGAGAATGATTCGGATGTTGATTATAAACTAACCAAACTTGGACGTACAATGGTGAAATTTCCAATTGATCCGAGATACGCTTTACTATTGATTGAAGCACAAAAATTCCGATGTACCGAAGAAATTATCACAATCATTTCAATGCTTTCAGTCGATAACGTATTCGATACATCGATGACCAATGAAAAGGTTATTGCAATACATCGAAAATTTGCCTCTTCCGAAGGTGATCTAATCAAACTATTAAATGTATTTCGTCGATATCGAGAAGCACAGCAAAAAATGACCTGGTGTCAAGAAAACTATCTTCGCTCATATCAATTGAAACAAGCTGGAGATATTCGACAACAATTAGTCGATCTTTGTAAACAGGCATCTATCGATTTGGTTAGCACACCAAGCACAGAAACTGTACGTAAATGTTTGGCCATTGCATCCGGTGTTGGTGTTGGTTTAGGTGCAAATATTGCCGAATTTCAACGTGATGGTGATTTTCGTACCATAACATTTGGACAAAATGATCGTCCATCAATGACTGTTTTCATTCATCCTTCATCGTGTTTATTTTCACAAAAACCTGAATGTGTACTTTTTGTAGAATTGGTACAAACAAACAAATCTTATATGCGTAATTTATGTCTAATTGATCGTAAGTGGCTTCTCGAATAAAAAAAAAGTTAAATATTATTTCGATAGAAATGTCATTCTAATTCACGAGATGGCAGCTTTTTTGCATCAACAAATTTGATGTGAGTCTATTGCTTAAAATTGTGTGTGTGTGTGTGTGTGTGTGTGTAAATGTATAACTCACAATTGATGTGATATTTTCGAATGGAACACATTGAGATTTTCTTTCCATTATCATAAGACAACAAAATTGTTGTCAACGACAACAATACTGAACAATCATCAGTGCGTATTATAACCAAAATTGTATTTGCATCATTCATAGTGTTGCACAAACTCTAAAGTATCATTTTGATTCAATCGATTAACCAAAAAGAGAAAAAAAAACTCAATTACGTCAATCGAATAAATGAAAAAACAAACTCAGCTTGTAATGGAAATTTGAACGAGTTATATTTTTCATTGTTTTTTTTATAGCACAAATATTCATTCAAAAAGCACAAGATCATACGCCCAAAAAAACAAGCCTTCAATCACTTGTTGATCAAAAATCTTTAATTTTTTTCGCACAAAATTTATAATTATCATGCAAAATTCCAACCCAAACGATGCGGCCAAAATGACCAACCCACAACATTCGCAACAACAGCAACCAATTTATCCAAGTGTACCACCACCACTTTTCAACATGGATCCACCACCCGCCTATTCACCACCAGGACCAGGATTTATTCATATCCAGCAACCAGGTATATTTTACGAATGATGATATGGTTCAATATATTAATTTTCTTTGTTTAGGCACTCAAACATTTGACGCTAACACAACACCCACTACAGCTCATGTAATAACTGTTCAGCCACTTTCACTTGGATTATCACCTAATCCGGTTCAAATGACATGCCCTAATTGTAATGCCACTACATTGACCGAGACAAGTGCAGTACCAGGTTTGCTTACATATCTTGCCGCCGGAACACTTTTTCTATGTGGATGTTGGGCTGGTTGCTGTTTAATTCCTTGTTGTATACCCGAATGTTTGGTAAGTTCAACGTTTGATTCGTTATTTGTTTCATTTAGTCAAATCATTCTGAAATAAACAAAATAGGATATTGATCATCGATGTTCGAATTGTAAGACCAATATTGGCCGATATCGTCGAATTTGAATTAAACGAAAATTCCTTTATCATCAATTATCAAGCCATGGTATTAATCAAGAAGTAAAACTTTTCTCCTGCTCTCCATTGAGTTAACTAAGTCAAATTATATTGATAATGAACCAAACTTGAATTTCTTCTTTATGTGATCATGGCGAAACTTTAATCTCATTATATTCTACACATTATACTATGCTTTTTGTTTGATATATTCATTTTATTGTGTTTAACAAATTATGTTTTTATCTCTTGTTGTCATATATATTATATATCTAATGAATGAATAATAATTATCAAACTGAATGAATTTTTCATAAAATTTTGCTTAGCCCAAATTTAATTTTCAGAATAATTTGATTGAATCATGAGCTGGTATATAAATTTTTTTGTTCTATTAACAAAAAAAAAAATCTGAAATAATTGTTATTGTTTGTAATAAACATTTTTCATCTATAGACATTTGACATTTGATTATAAATGGGTAAACATCGTAATAGTAATCGACAGAAAAATAATGATGTCATAATTATCATAAACGATAAATGTCTTGATCCAATATCTATGGAATGTCCATATTGTCATTTGAATATTGTGACCAAAATCCGTTATATGAACGGTTTGTTAACCTATATTCTTTGCTGTGGATTATTACTTGTCGGGTATTTATATATACTATATTTCAGATTGTAGGAAATATTTTCAAAGTATTTAATACTAATCATTGTTGTTGTTGAAATATTTTTTTTTTTTTTTTGTTTACAGATGTTGGTATGGATGCTGTCTTATTCCATTCTGTATGCCTGCATGTCAAGATGTTGAACATTATTGTCCGAAATGTGGAATGATCATACATAATGCTTATCGAATTTGATGATAATAATCATTGTGATAAAGAATAAAAAAAAATAGATCCATTGTGATGACGTGCGTAACAATAACAATGTCTAATTCTAATATCAATTTCAATAATCTTTTGCAATATTAAAATCAAAATCATTCATTGCAATTGATGATATCCAAAAAAAAAGTGAAATCTGTATTTTATTATGTTTTCAAAATGATTCATTTATACTCGACAGATGAATCATCAAATGAAAAATCAATTATCAATCGTTATCTCGTGATGGTGTTTGTCTCCAGAATAACGGTTTGAAAATGTGCTCACTGCAACTAAAAATTGAACATTTTAAAATTATCCCCAACAAGCATAATTTTTATGTAAAGCTTAATATTATTATAGCTAACTGGAGATTAAAATATAATCGAAATATGGAAAGGTTTTTTTTAAAGATTATATCCTAGGATATATATGTATGTAACATCAAAACATAAATCTATCAAAACAATGATGTATTACATTTATGATCAACGGTTTCGATGGTTTCGAACACAATGTAAGAGGATAAATAAATATATTGGATTGATTATTTAAAAAAAGGGAGTGGAAACAATCCAATAGTGGATATATTGCCACAGATATTTATCCACTATAAATACTATTGTTTATTGTGATCGGAAAAAGAATCTGTTAATTTCTGATTTAAAAACATTGTTAAAATTTTATTTTCACAATAGTAAGTGTTTTATTCCTTAATAATTTTTGATTATTTTTTAAATAAAATTTTCTCATCAGTGGCAGCAATTCAAGTAGGGGGCGAACAACAAGCACCAACAGTGATCATTAATCAAACCATTGGTTTAGATCCTGTTCAGATGAAATGTCCAACTTGTCAAGCCAACATTGTTACTGAAGTACATTATGAAAATGGTTTGCTTACGTATCTGATTTCCGGTGGACTTTGTCTTTTTGGGTTCGTATATTAATTATTTAGAAATTTTTGAAAATTGATATAATTTTTTTTTTTACCAATTATTTACAAAGTTGTTGGCTTGGATGTTGTTTGATTCCATGCTGTATGGATTCATGCAAAGATGCCGATCATTATTGTCCACAATGTCGTACACTAATACATAAAACTCGTCGTCTCTAATTGTTCGAATAGACACCACTGATTGATTTTGAATGAATAATGTGCAATTTGATAATGTTTAAAAAAGAATGAAAATAAAAATCTTTATTATTTGAAACAATAAAAAACAGGAATGCCAATGAATTGCATGTTTTGAATCACAAGAAATCAGAAAATAAATCACATAATCGAATCGAATAATTTCAACGAAATATAGTCATCTGTGTACATTGTTGTGTTTGATTCGAATCGATCCAAACTTTTTTATAGGAAAATTTAAATCTATTTTGCTTGCAAAATTTCTCTGCATGATTACGTTGATTTCGATTGAGATAAGTAGGCAACTGCATTGATAACCATACATTGTTAGACAGAAAAGCATTCAACATATTGGCAAGATTGGAATCAATTGGAGCTAATTTTTATGTCGACGATTTTTCTTCTTTTTAGTTTTTTCCTTTTTCTGTGAAGATTTAGCTATTTTGAATTCGGCAAATATTTGATCCAGATAATTCATTTGATTCATTTGCATTTGGTAATCACTGCCATTTTCAATGATTGCATTTTGAAAACAATATCCAATAAATGAATTCAATGCAGCCGATCGTCTTGTCACTGTACCGGAATCGCCAATCAGAGTTAAATGTTTTCGAGCACGAGTAATGGCGACATTTAGACGTCGTTCTTCACTCAGGAATCCAATCGAACCATTTTCATTCGAACGTACCATGGAATAAATAATGACATTTTTCTCTCTACCTTGGAACCCATCAACTGAATTAATCTCTAATTGATCATTGATCCGACGGGAAAATTCTCGTTTGCAAACGGCTTCGATCAATGTTGTTTGCAATCGATATGGCGTAATTACACCTGTAATCAAATTTTGAGTTTATGATTTATAACTATTTCAGTGAATAATAAAGACTCACCAATATCGGATGCAGGCAATCCTTGATTTATAAGTTTTTTGATGACAATACATACGATTTTTGCCTCATATATGTTGCCTTTTGAAGCTCTGAATGCTTTTTGTTGTGAATCCATTTCACCCATATCACAACCGACCGTATCGATGAATCGTAAAACTGGCAATGGTCGCCGAGTTCCTTTTAATACCAATTGATGTGACGCAACAATAGGAGCGGCAACTAAACGACCATCGTAAAAATAATCGGAAGGCCATTGCATAATCAATTCATTCATACGATGTTGAACGGTCAACATTCGTACTACACGTTCAGGGCAATGAACAAACAATTTTTTTGTGACTCGTTCGAGTAAAGATATATTTAGTCCTTCATTGGTAGCTTCAGATGAAAATGTTGTCGGTGGCAATTGAAGATGATCACCAGCCAATACACACTTATCGGCGAACGATAACGGAATCCAAGTACATGGTTCAGTTGATTGACCACATTCATCCACGATAACAATATCGAATGAAAATTTCGCCAAATCCTTATTGTTCCATAAATATTTAAGATTACCCTCGTATATAAACGAACTGGACAGCGTTGACATTAAAACGTTTGCATTAACTATCTTTTTTTCCATTTGTTTTCGTTCGTATTGACTTTTTTTCTTTTTGGAGCTTGAACAAGCTTTGTCGACCAAATACTTATGAATTTGCGGATCAACTCGTACAGGATGACCAATTCGTACGAATGAATAATTTGGATTGATACGATATTTTCGACATAGATTTTTATCATAAGAATCAACTAACTGTTTAAAAATATTGTCAACAGCAACATTAGATGGTGCACAGACCATCACTCGAAATCCTCGGGTAATTAATTGGAGAATCAATTCGGTAAGAGTTGTTGTTTTTCCCGTGCCGGGAGGTCCATGAATCACAGCCAAATGCTGTTGATACAATGCAAATTCAACAGCTTCTTTCTGACAATTATTCAAGTTGGAATTGAACCATTTAATCATATCTAATCCTCGTTGTGAATTAGAAAAAGGTAAACCGTTAACATATGGTCGCAACTTCATCAATGGATTCAATAATGGTTTATGGCCCATCAATAAACCAATCAGATAGACATAACGTGAACGTAAAACCATTTTTTTCAATGTGAAAACCATTCTATTATAAGTGACACCATTGACCACTTTGACAAAATTAAATCGTTTGTTTGGGAATTGTTTAAGCAAATCAACATCACAATCGATTTCGATCGAATTTGTTTCCACTTTCACTGCATATGCTATTGCTATCGGCATTGTTTGTTCATCGACAGTGACACCGACAAAACCACGAAGCAAACGGCATTTTTTCAAATTTAAATCATTCTGTTTTTCTTGTGGTAACCTCAAACGAATGATTCTGATGCCATTTTCTGAATATTCTTTGGTAATCTTGAGATTTCGTAAAGCAAAGCCAGCTTTTGCCAAATCATCGATTGAATTATTCGTAAGCAAATCTCTATTAGTAATATGAAAATTTTTCAAATGGAAACAGAATAAAACAAAAGGCTTAAAATCAACAAAAGAAAATCTACTTACTCATTGTTAAAAACTTCTTCTTCATATTCCAATCGAATTAATTCCAATTGTTTCTCCACCCATTGATCCAGATTGATTGATTGATCTGTCATTTTCTGTGTTTAAATTTGTATAAGAATGTTTTGATTAATATATTATGATTAAAACAATTCTAAAACCGAAAAAAAATCAATAGGCGGATTTTAAGTGATTGAGATCACATCATTTTTCCAAATAATACTCAAAAATACTCAAATCATTACGAAATACAGTTACTATAGTGGATATGGTTGCCAACATCATCATCATCATCATAATCATTGCATAACCAATGTCATGGAGACAGGAAATACAAAAAAAAGTAAACTACATTGTATGCATAATTACCAAAAAAAAAATCAAAAATATTGATCAACGAATAAAAGCAATGCAAGTTTTGTCATCTCAAACATAACAACAAAATTTGAAGTTGACAAAAAAAAATATCTATATATTCAATGTGTGTGTGTTTTACCCATTGAAAGCATCATTGATGATTACGAATCAAATCAAATCACATTGAATTTAATTGAATTGAATCGAAATAATGATAAAATAATTAGTTCTATGGGCGTTATAAATGATGAATATATAAGATATATTTGATCAAAATAAAATAAGATATATACTCATTGACTATTGTTAATCATTCATTTATAGATGATGCAATTTCCATAAATGTATGATAATCTGAAATTAATCTTGAATGAAACTTCGAACATAGGCCACGACAGTCACTCAATGAATGAATGATGATGATGATGAATATTTAATTGATTGAATGGATTTCTATTGTTTCAATAAAAAAAATGATGTACATTCATTCATGAAACGACGAATAACCAATTTTGTGTAACAAAATTCATTTATTCATTTGTTCTCATTAAGACGAAATCATCAGCTGAAGAGAATAACTTTTGATTCAAATCAATTTTGACATTGAAAAAATTACGAATAATTATGGATCACAACGATAACAACAACAAAATGAATAAACCAATCAATAAAGGTAAGAATGTAGTCAAAATTTGACATTTTTTTAAAATTATTATTCTCAATTCAGTGCCTAAAACCAATTATTCAACAATGTTATTGAAAGAATTAAAACATACAATGACATTGACACGTGAACCAATTGAAATTGATTGTCCTGAATGTAAGAATAAGACGATGACAAAAACGCAACAGGTTAATGGTCAATTGACATATCTCATTTGTGTACTTTGTGCATTAGGGTTAGTGAATCATATTTTCAATCATATTGATATGATGATGATTATGAAAATTTTTTTTTCTCTATTATACAATATTATAGATGTTGGTGTGGATTATTGCCAATGATTATCAATGATTTTAAGGTAAGTTTAAAATAAATCAAAATCAACAAAGAAAAAAAAAGATTATTAATTCAAATTCTTATCACTATAATAATGAAAAGGATATTAAACATAATTGTTCAAATTGTGGAGCGGTCATTGGTACTCATTATCTTCGACTATGAATATTATAGTGATGATAATTCCTGCTACTATAATACGATATATTACGACAAATTTTTTTTCCATACGATGTATAATATGAATAAAATCATCAGAAAAAAAAAATATTTACTTTGAATAAATGTAAATTTTAATGATAACATCGCTATTATCTCTATAGAGCAACAACGAAGAGTTTGTGAATGATAATGACAGTGTTCTGAAAAGATGTTGCTGTATGTCGATACTTGATTGATAAGAAAATTTAAGTAAAAAACTAACTAAATCGCGATTTGAAAATGATAAAAACCAATGTTCGTAACGATTTTTTGGCCATCATTCAACACTTTTTTGCAATTCAAAATAAAATTCAACTACTAACCTTATTGATGACTTGGTTTGATTGAATTTGATACAAAAGTAATAATCAGTATATAAAAATGTGATTGATTTTTGATTGTTATGATGAGATGAATTCAATGAGATATATGTTTTAAAAGATTGCTTCAAAGCATTGAAAAAATCCTAAATTCTCTTTTTTATAAATAATAATTCGTTTAATTAACCATCAATTAATAATGATTAGTCATGAATAGATATATCGAACCCATATTATGGTACGTCATCAAAGAATAGCACATTTTTCTCTCGTTCTGTTTTTGATGATGATGCTGTCGAATCACATTTGTATTGCGTATGTTTTCTGGCCATAGTCACAATGTATGATAAATGGCGCTGTTAACATATATAATGATGATGTTTGAAGCGTAAACAAGCGTCATGATATGCAAAAACGTATTCATTGAGACTTTACTCAAAAAAAAAAAAAAATTTTCATTGTGTGATGTGTGTAAACAACGACGACAAGCAGCAAACTGGCTATATTTTACGTTATTATTTGTTTAGTACGCATGCATTTACAATTTTGATAGCCGTATGATCATCATCAGCAAGTGGTGTGATGTTTTGTGAGTAGCATCCATCGATTAATCCAAACAACGACAACCATCAACAAGAATCGAATATCCAAACGAAAACGACAACGACCTGAAATGGGTATGTGAATAATATGCAAGTAAAATTGCCAAATTAAACAACAACAACAACAAATCGAACACGAATCCGGAAACTTTTGTTTGTTTTTAGTATTTGATTTTGTCTCAATATTGTTCGCGTAAAATTGATATTTTGATTATCGAATGGCAAGTTTTTTTTGTGTAATTATTATTTGATAAATGCATTTTTATCTATGTAATCGAATCATTCATTCAGGTTTTTTTTTCATTTGTTTTTTAGCTGATGTTGATGCACTCTAACCCTTAGAATTATTGTTATCAACAACTTTAACAAAAATCGATCGATGCCAGTTTTTTCTGCCTAAAAATAGTGATTTTTGACAAAACATTCATTTTGTCGGCTATCTATATATTGCTTTGGACAAACGTGGAAAAAGAAAAAAATTTGCTTTAAAAAACAAATAATAAAATAACGGACGACCCAAACGAACCAAGGACAATCCTAATCAAAATTGAATGGAAATGAAAGTGGGCGCTTGTATGTTTGTGCAACAGCATCCATTTCTCATCTGAAAATAAAAATCCTGTGAAAGCTGAACGAACGTTATAGACATTTTTTCTTCGAATTTGATGACCTCGACTTTATATATGCACAAAACAATTCATATACATTGCAATTGAATCAGACAACAAGTGAGCAACTACGACGACGACGACATTTAATAATCACTGTTCAGCACAAAGTGAAAAAAAATCATAAAATAAGTCATTTTTTAAATTTTTTTTCTGCATAAATGCTGACAATGATCCAACTTCTATAAGTCCGATGGCCATTAGTCAATTCCCATTATCATCATCATCATCATTATTGTTTTAATCATATTAATTTGAATAAGGTTCGATCAATTATTTCTTATTTTGGACTTGGTCTAAATTATTGCTGCCGTTATTTCTTTGAATCTTTAATTATCAACCAATATTTAAAGCTTATATTGAACCTCAAAAACAACAAAAAGAAAATACATTTCTGATCAAAAATGGATGTTGATCTCACAAACAACTCTTCATCGTCGGATTCAACTGATCCAATCACGTCGGAATTGTTGCAAAAATTCTCTTGTCTCAATACAACTGATCGTGATGTATTGGTCAAACAATTTAATCTGTTGCTTGGTGAAAAATGTTCAGATTCGATGGCTGAATTCTGGTTAGACATGAACAATTGGTAAGTATAATATTTAAATGTATCAATTCAATTTTTTTAATTGTAATTTCTTCTATAATTTTTTTTAGGAATTTACAAGCAGCAATATGTTCGTATTTTGATTATGAATCTACATTACCCAAAAATCATCAGCTAAAATTGCCAGAAATACAGATTAAACCGGAACCGAATATATGTGAATGTTTGCCCAACAGTTCATTCACTTATCATTGCACTGTTACTAATTCAGGTTCGTTTTTTTTGTTTGATTCGGTTTCCCGAATCATCATAGATTTCGGTGCATATGTACATGATACTATTTTTAGTGAAATCATTATTATTTGTGTTTTCGGTGTTGAGAGTTATTAATAATTTTGAAAGTTGTCTAAAATTATGACAGTTCCTATAAGATGAAAAAAATTCAATGTTTATGAGAGAGAACTGTTTTTTGGCAGTTTTCTATGAAAAATGATTTTTCTATGAGAAATGAATTTGTTTTTCATTCGTTACGACAGGTGATGAACCATGGCCATATGGATATACTTTAAAATTCTATGGTGGCCATCAAATGACTCATGAAGAGCGTTTTCTTCTGCCTGAACTACAACCTGGACAATCGTGGACATTGCAAATGCAGTTTACCTCGCCAGATAAACCAGGCCTTTATGAATCGCAATGGCGTTTTTCTGCCATTACTGGTCAATGTTTTGGAGGTAACATGTTTTGTTCGATTGATTGAGATATTGATTATCATTCTGCTTTGTTTGTTTAGAGACGATTTGTATGATTGTTCACGTGATGGATGATCTCAACCAGGTCACCAAACAATTATCAGCTGCTCATATTGTCGATAATATACAACAATCCACACAGAATCAAGTCATTTCTATTTCTGAACAACAGCCACAAAATTCATTTATATTTTCTGGTCCACATCAAGCCATTGCTATTCAAGCACCGCTTGCACAACGACCGAATTTTATACAACATCATCATCAACAACATGAATCGAATCAGGAAAATAACCATGAAAATATAAACCATCAACAACAAAACGGTCTCAATCATAATTATAATCATCTTAATAATGATCATCAGAATATAAATGGAATGTCACCGCCAACCATAATAAATCATCATCAACATGATGGCAGTGATAATGATTCTTCAATGACATGACACACGATGGATTAGAGATTTTGGCTAGTTTTCATATATAGTTTGTTATTACCGATATTGTTAACACTTGTTGATGCGTGTGAATGGATTTTTTTCTATTCAAGTTTTTTTCTCTTCATAATCTTTTAATCTTCAATGATGCTATTATTGATCCATTGATCGGATTTTTGTAAAGGATGCCTGAAAAAAAGATGTATTTCATGTGTATATTATATGATGATTATATTTAAATAATCTCTATTTAAGAATTCTTTACAAATAACATAAACAAACAGAAATGAGTGAATTTTTTATTTTTATTCTTCATAATTGTCTTTAATTAAACAATTTAATCGTTTATAATAAAATGAAGATTTTATTCGAATTAATCACCAATGCAAGCATGTGGTGGAAATCTTGTATCACAAATATGTGAACAACAATCAGTATCACTACTGCATGGTTCACCATTACCTTTACAAGCGATTGTCATATCAATCGCGACGAACATGATGGCGATGACCAACAATAAGATCCAAATGGACAATTGTCGTGCGTTTGGTGATTCCATTTTTTGTTTCTTAACGATTACGATTCGATTTTTTTTTATATTTCAGGCGTGTATGCAATAATAACAAATGAAAAAGTTTTCTCGTTGTTTTTCTTGTCATTTTCTTAAACGTTTTATACTGTATTTGATTGATTTATCTGATTTTAAGTTCAACACAATAGATAAGGTTCGATCCGGCTTTAATCCACTTAAACTGATTATATTATCTAACATTAAGAAAAATTATTTTGATCATAGCTATCAATCAAGGATCCAAATATATTTGAATCGGTTGATTGCATTCAACATTAATTTATCGGTTCACTTGAAATCATTTTGCTATTCTATAGCAATATTACAGGAAATCGTCAATACTATAATCGCAATGAAATGACCACAATCATTTATCCATAAGTTTATTCCCCTTTAGTAATTACATCTACCTCCTTAATGAAAAATACCAAATAAGCAAAACATTTATTTGTCTTCCCAATGACACACAAACACACACACACACACACAAAAAAAAAAAAATTCTACGCACACATCCTCTTTTATCTTAATCAATCTTTTTAAAATCCCCCTTTCGCTCTATTGATCCGGATGGTAATGAGGAAAAAAATATCTCAAAAATGTGCATAATAATGTAATGACCACGAGCAATGATGATAATGACAGTTGGATGATCAATTGAATTTCTTTGCGTACATACACATCATCATCATCATCACCATTGTTGATCAAAAGAGATGAAAAAAAAATTTCCTGTTTTTCACTTTTCCTTCTAATCAATCAGATACAATATGTAGAAACAAAATAAATGAATGAATGAAGTAAAGAAAAAACCTCCCGTCCATCAACATTAACATCATCATGGACACTTATGACCAATTCCAATTTTAACCCGGCCAATAAACGAAAGCAATGAGAAAATAAAAAACAAAAACCTAATCACTTTCTCTCAAAGATAAATCATTCTCCTCTAGAGATGATGTTGATTGTCGTGATAGTAATTAGAAACATCTTCTGGATGATTGAATTGTCTTTGGGGTTATTGTTTTATTTTCACATGGGATAATCAGCAAAAAAAAAACAATTTTTTGTTTTCATTGACCATATTGAATAAATGAAATTACTATATGAAACAAAATATAAAATATGGTTTGGAGGCAGTCTAAATATTTGTACTCATTGATGATCATCATTCAATGGTGATCCTAAATGAAATGAAAATCTAAATGTATTCAATCAGTTAATCAACAACAAATCTTATTTGCAGCATCAAATTTTGCCATTATGTTGTAATTTGATGATCGATGATGTTTGTGGATGGATGCGTGATAAATAAAAATAAGATTTAATCGAAATTAGACAAGTAATCGGTTTGGAAGAATAGCTGAATCAATTCAGTTGATTGGCCATAATAGATTTTAATTATAAATTCATTAATATTGATCATACCCACGTACACATAAAATCTGGTTTTTTGCTTATAAAGCAAAGAATCATCGATTCACCCAATCGGATCAAAATCAATTCAATTTCGAATTTGATTGATTTTTTTTTCTTGTAATTTTTTTCCACGAGTGATACTCTTTCCATGATTCAATTTTTTTTTGTTTGCGATCGACACTATTTCAGTACTAAATTTCTTTTCGAAGATTTCAAATTCAATTAACCTTTTTCCCGCAGAAAATTCAAATTTGTTTAGGCTTGAATTTTGTTGTCGACAATTTTTCTACATTTTGTTTTGCCTATTCAATTGTGAATGGTAATTCAATTTTCGAATCATTCATTCAAATCGATTTATTTGAATTAGGTTGATTTATATATACACACACACTTGGAAGCCAGAAAACAGAAATGATTTTTTCTCTATTGTTGAAGGGTTCGTTGTTCCATAGTCGTTCCAAAGAAAAGAAAAGAAAAGAAAAAAGATTGACACCTTCAAAACTTTCACTACAGAAAAAAAACCAGACACAATCAACAAGTGACAACGATTTGACGTTTGTCGTTTTTTATATTTGGAAGAATTTTGATATTAGAAATAAAAAACAAAAATGAAATTGAATTCAGATGAAGAGAAAAATATTAGTTATGAAGCAATTTTTTCAAAAAAAATCTTAAATTATCATTGCAATTATCAATTATTAATTTTATCGGTCAAAAAAGTGATACCTAGCTATTGTAATTGATTTTTTTAATGAATTTATTTTTTTTTTCTAAATCAGACAATGATTTCACTCGAAATAATTGGATTTTAAAGTTTTTCCTCATGAATTATCGTTATCGTTTTTGATTGTTTGTTTACAACATTCACTAGCAAATTAGTGATGATTATTATTATAAAAACTTAATTCTGGATATTTTTGTTGACTTGATAGAAAAAAAAATAAAAGTAGCCAACAAGATAATCCCGAATTAGGTCAGCATGTTTTTTTCTCAAAAAAAATTTCTTATTTTTTTATAGAAAAATCAGCTGAATAAATACGATTGAATTGATCTGAAGATTATACAAATTCAATATAAATTATTCATTTTGATCGGAAAATTTATGATCATTGATGTTCATGTTGACCTAATGAAAATTAACAGATTTAATTTTTGTTGTTTGCTTTCAAATTTCTCAAACTCCAATGTGACAATAGTCTTGTTGTTTTGTTTTTTATTCTCAAACTTTTTGTGGATTCACTTGATTGAATTTTTTAAATTTATCCAATAGAAATGATTTGAATTGATAAAAAGAGACACAAGATAAGAAAAAAAAATTGCAAAATCTAACAATGGTTCGTGATCCAATTCATTTGATTATGTCATTATTGTCACCAGAACGTCAATCATTGTGTTTGTCAGTTTATTTATGTGTGTCATCATTTCTTTTCATTGAAAAAGAACTTTTTTTCTTACCATCTCCGTATTCAAAAAAAATGGTAGTTTTAAATGATGGTTTCTATCTACTCATTTTTGAATAAATAATTACATTAATTTGAAAAAAAGTTTTGAATATTGATGGATGTGTCTATAAAATGCATCATACATACATTGATCTATCAATCAATCAATAAAAAGTGGGGAAAAAAATATCGACAAAAAATCGATACAATAGTACATGCAAAATTCAAGGAGATGATGGCACGCTATTGCTATTGATCTTTGCACCATTGTGGTTACAAAATTCCATAAAAAAAAATTCAAACAAACTATCCATATGAGATTATAATAGATTATATTGACTTTGTTTGTTTTGTATAATTTTACCTTCAAATAATTTTGTTTTGTTTTTGTTTTTGTTTTTTGTTTTTGTCCCCAAACATCAAAAAAAAAAAAATACGATTTAAGGAAATGTTTTTTGGACAATTTCAATCGTTCGATTGTAACAAAAATTTTCTTTTCTCCTTCAAATGATTCGATTGTCTATCATTAAAATGGCTTAAAGAAAACAAATATATGTGGAAATTTTGGATAATTTGTTTGTTGTTGTCGTTTTTTTTTGTTCTTGGTTCGAGGTGAACAAAAATCATCGGATATTCATCAAATTCGATCATTAAAAGCTTCTGTACACGTGAAATATTTTTTTTTATCAGCCAAAAAAAACCATGTTTTCTTTGTCCAAAAATGAACATTTTTCCATAATAAAATCGAATAAACGAACACTTTTTGTTTTTTCACATTGAAAGTGAACTTTGAAATTTTTATACAATGGTTAATGATTATTTCGACCTACACACACACACACAATATACACAGATTATTGTATGATTCAATAAGGCATTTTAATTCATAAAAAAATTAAAAAACTAAGACTATATGATCATTACTGTTTTTGTTGTTTTAAAGCATTGGATGTGGATACACAGAAAGATGATAATTGATTATATATAAAGATGATGATAATACACCGACGCTGAATTTAAAATCGATCTCAATGGGTCATTGTAGATCCATCAATCTAATTATGGAAACTTTCGACAATAATGATGATGATGACCATCATCGTGATGATGGTAAAGAAATTTTTTTTTCTGGATATAAAATTAGAACGCATACATTGAAAAAAAACGATTATCCATTTTCTTTATTGTTCATTCTTGTTTATAGATTTTTTTTTTTTTTTTTTGATCGAATAAAAAAGTGACAAGTAAAAGTGGTTGGTCAAAAATTGTGAATGATCATTGTAAATAAGTTTTCTCACAATGGACATATGGATCCTAAAAAAAGACAAAACAAAAAAAAAGATTACACGTGTGTGATAGATGCGTGTGTGTCCGAATTTTTTTTTTTTTCCGTCAAATGTTGAAAAAATTTATGATGAAACATCATATATGTCAATGAGCTGTAATCATCATTTTTCGCTATTGTCATCGTCTTTTATGAATCTTGCCAACCAGAAAAAAATTACTGTTAAGTTTGTTTCGTAATTATTGTTACCAAAATGGATGGATGAATGATTTACCGTGAGAAAAAAAAACAAAAATTTGTTCCACATAAACATATTGTTTCGTTTCATTTCATTTCATTTAATTTTATGTTTTGGCCACCAAAATTTTTTTTTTTTT